AGAAGATAGTTAAGACAAGAAGATAGGTAAGACGAGAAGATAGTTAAGACAAGAAGATAGTTAAGACAAGAAGATAGTTAAGACAATAAAGTAGTTAAGATAGTTAAGACACAAAGATACGGTGGTAGGCGATTATACCAATATAAAAAGACGACTTTATTAATAAGTTTTGATTGTTAACAAGATTTTTTCGAATTACAAGTTTAAAAGTAATAAAAGAGAAGCTTTTTTAATTGAAAGCTTCTCTTGTTTTTGTGTATCCATGATGTTTAAAAGGTTAAAATAAATCAAAATTGAAATCGAAAATCGTCTTAATTAAATGGATAAAATCGCCTGCCACCCTAGGTAAGATGAAAAGATAGTTAAGAGCAGATAGTTATGCTATTAAATAGTTAAAATAAAAACATAGTTATGCCAATCATTAAAGTTAAACTGGAAAACCGTATCTTTCTACAACAAAACAAAAACATTTGTTCATTTAAATTTTTCATAGTAAGCTTAAACCACTTGTAAATCGATTTAAATCAGGCTTTCTCTCATTTATAGACTATGATTGATATTTAATGTTGTAAGTTATTAGATCATAATTAAATGTTGAATCATTCCCCATTTTCTGCATACAGACGACTCTTTCAACATTACTAGTCAGAAATGGTTTTGCGCATTTTTCCTTCTTTTCTCGTAGATTTATCTGAACGAAGGGTGGGCTTAACTCAATTTAACTTATCTTTAGGGTCACACGTGGCGAAAAACCTTTCTTCATGTTGTTGTAAAAGTATCTATACTTAGGTACAAATCTGCCATCTGGTTAAATTTGTTCGGCCATTTTTTTAAAATGGCGTCACTCGCGCAAATTCTTCAAAATGGCGTAATTTTAAAATTATATTCACATTGTTACAGGGCTCATCTAAATGTTATCTTCATGAAAACAAAAATTTAGACTTGCCGGTGGTGGAAAGGGGAAGAAGAATTTAATTTTTTAGTATAGATAATAATAATTAGCTTTAAATAGCTATTTTTAAATACTTGTTTTTCATCCCTTTCCACCATTTGTTATAAGTAAGCTTTTTGGCTGTGACCGCATAAACTTATGATTGTGATATTTAAAGTCCTCTTAACCGTTATTTTTCATTATCGAATTGAATGAAAAGTAACAACGTAAGTTTGATGCTTATATAAGACTTTGAAAGAGTCGATTCTGGTTTGCAGGCAGACGTGGCGAACAAAAAATCATAATTTAAAATAATTCAAAAAATTAGATTTTTTTTCTAAATTAGTTCTGCTTCTCGTCACTCCTGCCTTCGGCCGGAGGTTAATGATAAAGATAACTTTGATAAAGAACATGAATAAAAATTACTATTTTATTAAATCTGATTTTTAATTTGAGAGTTAAAGCAGACTGTGAACGTACCAAGTTAATGTATTTTAAAAGATATTTTTTGAACGGATTGTTAGTGGGTTATAGAACAAGGGGGGTATCAGAAGTCAATTTATTTATATTTAGAAACCGGTTAATAACAAAAAATATACTTGTTAACAGTGCTAAGGATCCGGAAGATTTTGCCTCCCTGGATCCGGTTCCAAGGGGTAAAATATCAACCAAAAGCTGCAAATAAAAAAACTTTTTTACTCCTAAAATCCAAATCTGAATTTTCGAAAAAAGAGATAATAAAGATTTCCTCATTTCTGAATGGTTCATCAAGTTTTAGGATACAAATAAGTGAAAAAAAACAACTTAAAATTTGAAAATAATTTTTTGTTAAAAAAATGCAGTAAATCTCAAAGAAATTACCTGGATCCGATCATAGTTTGAAATATCTAAGGTCTACAACATTTGGTTCCAAAGATATAGTGATTAGGAAATTAGAGTTTGTGGCTCAATTCCTTTATTTCCATTAAGTAATATTAAGCATAATTTCAAGTTCCCCTTTATGCAATGATGACAATAACATCGAATGAAGGACAGAGAAGTTTTAGCCTTCTTAAGAGAATACTTCATTACACAAGATGTACTATGACGGAGAGCAGACTTAACGATCTTGCACTTATGGCTCATCATTGAAATGTTTGTGCAAGCAAATCCAAGAAAATTGAAGCTTAAAAGAGTTGGTGAATATGTAGATGGAGTAAATTCGATCTAAAAATTTGAGAAGAAATTTCGTTTATTATTGAAAATATGATTTTTTAATGATGCTGTGATTATTGATTTAGTTAGCTGTGATGGAGTTAAGTGATAAATTTATAAAGTTAAAAAGTTAAAGTTAGTTTTTCGAGCAAAGGAATAAATTTTAGAATCTATAAGGTTAGTACACCCAAAAATGTAGTCTTTTTGGTGTATTTTTATGGTGTTAATTGAATTTTTGAACAAAACAATTCCAGGGGGGGCAAAAAACAGCCAGGGTGGGGCAAAAAAAAATTTCCGCGCTTCGCGCGAAATCTTGCCCCCCCCTGGCTAAAATCATGTGTACGCGCCTGCTTTCTAAATTACTAATTTAGTGAAATGGTTCTGTTTACACTGTACACCTGCTGTGTCCAGAGCCGGAATATTGTCATCCGTACTTTTTGCAAACATATGACATCTCCACTTACTCACGTCCTAAATACGGAGGAATTAAGTACTAGTTAAATGGGAATTTCTACAACATTTAGTGTCCGACCATAAACTGCAACATCGCGCGACCCCTATAGACGAAAATAAATAGAAAGCTGTTCAATACACTGCAGAATAAATTTTCAGGGATACTTTTAATTGACGACTTTCAAAAATATTAATTTTTCAAGAGACAGCATTGGATTATATAATAGTTTTCGTAAAATAAAACTGCAAAATATAAAAAAAAATTTATTTAGTTTTTTTCAAAATCGGATTAAGATTTCGAATTAAATTTTATTATTAAATTTGTGATTATTATTTATCCCTGGGTTTAAAAAGTTGTATTGTGTGCAGGTGCTGACATCTTTAATAAGGTTAACTCACGGCGAAATTATGTGAGTAAACATGACGTGAGTAAGTCTGTCTGTCCGAAAATAACTTACGGGAGACATCTAGCGGAAAACATTATAGAGTACGGAGACGTATTTAGGACGTCTTAAATACGCACGTAAATTTGACAAGATTCCGGCTCAGGGAATATTAAATACGAATAAAGGAACAGGGGTGGAAGACAGCATTGTGAGGGGGCACTTTTTGCGCGCAAAAGAAAATTTGTGTGCCCCCCTTGGCAACTTTGTTTTCCCCCCTAAAAACCCCTTTTTAAAAAAAATATTGATACCGCTTTTAACTTTGTAAACTATTCGATCATATACACACCTCCGTGTAACAAGTGTTCATAAATTATTTATGTAATTTTCTTAAGTGGACTCATCAGACACTTCCTCTTAACTGTGGTGTAAGCTTCAATGGGGTCTTTAATAGTTCAAATCTTATTTATTGAGACCTTTGAGTGATCTTGTATCTCTAAAATTAACAATGTGGGAGATGAACTTCACTCATGGGATGACTTCACCGTGAAACTTAAGATATAAATTTTGCATTTCGCTAATAATTTCCAATTATTATGGAAGACAAATAAAGAAGGAAGTGTTCTCTTACAACAAATCAAATAGGAATACCCACTAAAAACTATTCCATTTAGAACTTGGGAGAGTTATTTAAATAAACTAGCCTTATAGGGCGCTTCGCGCCCATCTTCTAAATTAATTGTGAACATGTTCTCTTTGTGTACATCGTAAAACAAAACAAAGATAATTTGCGGATTTTCAAAAAAAATTTCGTGGATTTTCAAAATTTCAAAAATTTAATGAAGATCGAATTTTGATGGAGACAAATATTTGAAATTTTGATCATTTATAAACCTTCCCTGGAGTCCCTAAATGTCCCACAAAAAATTTGGGCCCGATCGGTTCAGCCGTTTTGACGTTTATTGGACACAAACAGACAGACAAACAAACAAACAAACAGACAGACAAGCCAAATTTATATATAAATTATAAGCATTTCAGTAAAATTCTTTACATCTTTTTCTTACCTATAATAACAAAGAGGGGAAAAAATAATCAGTTTCAGAACTATTAAGAGACGGTTAAAGGGACTGTAAAGGGGATAAAGAATGAAACCCTTGAATCTCAGGCGTTGAACGATACATATAAGACATCTATCTGATGTTCCTGTCTTGAGAAATCGATATAAAACTGTGTCAATTTATACGAAAATTCATATATATGCAATTTTGTATAAAAGTTGTAGTAAAAATAGACATACACTGGAATATTTAAAAATTAGTAATTCACACATGCATTTTTAGTGTACAATAGTTGAAATAAATACTACTAATGGTCTCTTATTATAATTTAGATCACTTACTCACATAAAAGTATTAAATATTAAATATTTATCAATGTTTAGCAGAGATAACAATAATTAAGCAGATCATATTCAGCAAATACGCAACCAATCTGAAAATTACAATATTCCACAGGAGCCTAAGAATCTCAGGTTTGCTCCTATTATATATTTTTTTATTTTGCATTTTTAATAGATATACTTGATAGTTGATAATATTATTACATAAAGTCCGTATAGTATTACGTCACCAGAACTTCAGCCAATGGCAGTGCAATATACTGGTCATGTGATTTCCGTCTGTATCATGTGATACTTTAGCTATTTCCGACCTGTTCATAATTTTTAAATCAATTTGTTTTTGACCTTAATTTTGAATCTGATGGTATTTGAGTCCTTTTAGATATAGTTCTATATAATTTTGAGAACATTTTATTTATATTTTTTGGCACATTGTTTATTAAGAAACTGCATGAAGAGACAGGGACATATTTAAACAATAAAAAGTCTGAAGCGTGATTTAAGCATTGAAATTAAACATATCTTCAATGTAAATTTAAGAGATTTAAAAATCTACAGTCTTTTACAAGATCCCCCATCCAAATTCTTTTTGATCTTTTTAGATTCTAACTCATAATAGATTTTCAAATTTTACACATTTGTACATGTATATTTTACAATTGATAAAAGTATTCCATATTTGGAACATCATACAAATACAACTGGTCTGAAAAAAACACATGTTTTAGATTCGGGTTTAAGAAGGGGAGAGAAAAATAGCCATATTATCATTAATTATTATTATACCACATTCTTATCGGATTTACTAGGCGCTACGATGTCTGCTCTATTTCCATTTGCTCTATGGTCATTTGCTCTAGTTCCATTTGCTCTATTAACCATTTGCTCTATACGTCAATTGATCTTTGACATAACACGTCATTTGCTCTATAAACATTTTTATGACTATGATGGTCCAATTGCTCTACTCAACATTTGCTCTATCAGTAAACACGTCATTTTCTCTATAAACATATTTATATAAATATCTAATCATATTAAAACAATATTTTTACAATTTTACATTTTACAATTCTTCCTACAGTTTCATTATTCCGCCAACTTCCTGGAGATAGTCTTGTTTGTCTGGTATTTGTGCATATTGTGAGACCAAGTTAAATATTTCCTTGTTCTTTGAGTATTGTTTCCTAGCAGAACCAGGAGCAAGAACCAGTCTCGCTGTCATGATGAACTTTGAAGAACTGATGAAAACTGCAATTTGCGAATTTTCCAAAAAAAATCCCGTATTTCATAGTCAAGTTACGCTCAGGAATTCCAATAAAAGCTATTTTATAGTGTATTTTTATGTTATAGAGCAAATGACGTGGTTAGTCATAGAGCAGATTGAATATAGAGCAAATGACGTATAGAACAAATGACGTATAGAGCAAATGACTTGATAGAGCAAATGACTTGATAGAGCAAATGGAACTAGAGCAAATGACCATAGAGCAAATATAAATAGAGCAAATGTCGTAGCGCCGATTTACTACGTAGCCAAATCCGGAATAATTCTTGTTATTGTCACCCATTTTGTGTAATAATTATGATTATTCCACGAACTAGCTGTGAATAATAAAAATTATTCACCGGGAACTTGATAGATAGATAAATCAGCTATTTAATTCTAGAAACTAAAACTAATGTTAATTCATTCTCACAATCATGAAACTAACAAACTGCTAATTTTTTTAAATAGATTTTTTTTAAACTGAACCCTTTAAAAAATTCTCATTTCTTATTCTTTCATCAGGAGCGTAGAAACGGAACGGGGGCCAAAACGTATTCATTTAAATATTTTTTGATGTAAAAATATGTCATATAATTTAAGATTTTAGGTCTGTCAGAATGTCAGGCCATGAAAAAAATGCTTAACAAAATAGTTTCAGCATGCAAGATTTTCCCGATATGGTTCAGGTAGTAAAAAGCCAACTGTCATCAGAGTCCTGAAAATAAAGAAGAATTAG